TTTGTTATCCTAAGGTAAAAAAAAAAAAAAGACTTTTTAATCTTACTACAAAGGCGGTCAAAATTTAACTTGTATTATGTAATTTGGTATTTTTATTCATTTAATTGACTAAATTTTGATTCTCTCAAGATTTTTTTGATAATTGATTAAAGGGTTATTTCTTACAAAGTCGTACATTAATTTCTTATATCTTTTCGGCTTCTCTTCACTCTTTTATAGGTACGTTCTTAATTGTTGTAGATGTATTATTCGAAAAAAATAATAGTTAATTTTTATTGTAATAGTGATCAACAAATTGATATATCTAAGAGAAAATAATACTAATCATGTTATGTTTTCTGATGCAAACATGACATCTTGGTTATATCATATTTCAGTTGACATGCATAATAGTATACTAAAAATTCACGACTGAAAATTATTTTTTTCCCAACTAAATACGTCAACTCTACAAAAATACAAATTTATTTAATTCATATCCTACCAAAATTAAAAAAAAAAATTAAAAAAAAATTCTATAATAATTTTCATACAATATCTGCTCATAAAATCAAGAAAATAAAAAAAAAAAATTGGTTNTCATATCCTACCAAAATTAAAAAAAAAAAATTTTTAAAAAATTCTATAATAATTTTCATACAATATCTGCTCATAAAATCAAGAAAATAAAAAAAAATAGGTTTTTTTGTGATTCAATCCTAATTAATTAAATTAGTTTAAAATATTTAAAAAATGAGTTATTCATATTTGATACTAGTCTAGCCTATTTATAATTCATATTAGCCACCATCCCTAATTTATTAATTTTAAGTCAAATTAGTGTAATTCTATACAATTGTACAAGGAATTGTCGCCAATCCTAAACAATTGAGCAATGTTCTTGTGACATAATTTATTGACTTAATTTACTGATCTAATTCACTATAGTCATTGGATTAACTGTGCATCTCATCAAATATTAGAACTTAGTGTTAATTCAACGATTACAATAAAACCATATCATTAAATCAATAAATTAAATTAAAATTTTAGACACCAACTGCATTACACTAAGCAATCTAATGAATCATAAAAGTCAAAATTTGGTGTGAGAAAGTCTCTTAGGTTCCAAAATTCGTTTGCCTTTAAGGAATGCCATAGAGATTCCCTGTGCATGAGGGAATTCTCTAGTCTTCTAACAAAATTGTGTGATCCAACGATCCATTAGTTGTATGATCCAAATATTTATTAGGTGAAATAGTTACACAAATATTATTGTAATTGTGATTTTTTTTTTGCATTAAACTATGTCAACTCAAAACAAATTAGATCAGAGTATGTAATCTTAACAGAGAATTCCTTATAAATATGCTAATCTCAGCATGAATGATCTGTCTTTAACCGAAATAAGAAAAAGATTAATCGAGGTGAACGCAAGTTTGATTGAATACTCCTAACAGTTGAACTAAAAAAAAAGAAAAAGAAAAAAATACTACAATAATCCAATCCAAGGTGGAATGCTATTGGGATTTAAAATCTAATCTAGTTTGTTGACCTCATGAGAAATAAACTAATATGGTCCAATAGTATTACAATAATATTATTTAGACCTAATTTGTTGGTCTAACTCATTAAATTCATTGGATGAATAGAGTGTCAATCTAATGACAATAATTTATGAAGTCGACAAATTAAATTCAAGCAGTATTGTTAATAGCATTATTATAATTATAACTCTTGAATTTTTTTATTAAGACCCTATCACTTGACACCTCATCAGGATACTAAATTAGGTCAAAATTTTAAATTCTAAAAGTATTATTTGAATTTCATATGCAAGTAGTAGTTTATACATGTAAGTCAATGTAATCGGTTGGTTTGGCTGTGAAATCTGTCCAATATCAAAACTCATTAACATTCCAATAATTTATCTAATATTACAACTAAGAAATTAAATTCTTAATTTATAAAATTATAATGACGGTCATGACTGATTTAATTTTTATTTATTTTGATCCAATGGTATAAAATTCATTCTAATTTTTTTTTTTTACTCAAAAACATCAACTCTACTAATAAACTCTCTAATGTCAAACAACCATACTAATTCACACCTACCTCTTTCTTATTTTCTTTCTATTAACTTTAATTTTAAATTGTGAAATTAAAAAACTAAACTAAATTATTATTTAAAATATAAATGTCATACAATCAATATTCAATTCTGATAATATAAAGTTTCTTCAGACATAGAATTGTTGCTAGTGATAATATATTAAGCATCCAAATTGCGTCAAATTAGTAGGAAATGACAAATACTATAATCTATATCTATACTACTAATAACAGTGCCTTAACATAAAAAAAATTTGATTCACTATTTTACCCTTAAAAAAATTATAAAGGCTAACGTGTTATTTTGTATTTAAATATTTAAATTACCATTATATCCCTTTGTATTGAAATAACAAATTAATATTTAATATATTATGCAAATATCTCTATTTTTGTAAAATTTTTGAATGATCATGTTATGTTTAATAAGATATACAAAAATAATATTTTTATTTCCAATATTAATACACGGTGACAACTCTATTGATACAATATTATCTATAATGCCTAAAAATAGTTATATTTATCTCATCTTTTCATTCACAATCAAAATAATTTGGTAAAAAATTACAGATACACAAAGTAAAAACAAGAAAGAAAAAAAGAAAAAATCGAGAAAAAAAAAAATAAATCTTACTATTTGATAGCTCAAATGAAAAAATTATGGAAAATGAGTCCATTATTAAATTAAGTTCGAGTAGGATTGATTATATCATTATTTTAATTCAAACTCTTGAAATTTTAATCGAGGCCATATTATTTGACATAATTAACAAATCAGCTCAAACATTTCAGTCTCAAAAGTATTATTTTCTTAAAATTTCAGATGCGCCTAATTTATAGATGGAGTTGATAAAAAAAAAAAATTTATAGATGGAGTTGTCAACTGTAATAAAAAAAAAATTTGATATTGACTTTTATCACATTTATGAGTGTTTTTATTACCAAAAAAAGCGGTAAAACAAGTTACCACAATAGCGATAAAATCACCTACAAATGTGATAAATAACCGACAAAAGTTACTTTTTTTTGTACCGAATAAAAATAATAAAAATAATTATCATAACTTATCAACAGTAAAAAAAATATTCACAATAGTGATAAAAAAACTGATAAACATAATAAATCAATCACTCACAATTAATGCATTAAAATAATAAATTTTAGCAGTACAAAACCGGAAATTTTCCTTCGGTACTGTGTCAAGTTTTTTATAGATAGTNTATACATGTAAGTCAATGTAATCGGTTGGTTTGGCTGTGAAATCTGTCCAATATCAAAACTCATTAACATTCCAATAATTTATCTAATATTACAACTAAGAAATTAAATTCTTAATTTATAAAATTATAATGACGGTCAAGACTGATTTAATTTTTATTTATTTTGATCCAATGGTATAAAATTCATTCTAATTTTTTTTTTTTACTCAAAAACATCAACTCTACTAATAAACTCTCTAATGTCAAACAACCATACTAATTCACACCTACCTCTTTCTTATTTTCTTTCTATTAACTTTAATTTTAAATTGTGAAATTAAAAAACTAAACTAAATTATTATTTAAAATATAAATGTCATACAATCAATATTCAATTCTGATAATATAAAGTTTCTTCAGACATAGAATTGTTGCTAGTGATAATATATTAAGCATCCAAATTGCGTCAAATTAGTAGGAAATGACAAATACTATAATCTATATCTATACTACTAATAACAGTGCCTTAACATAAAAAAAATTTGATTCACTATTTTACCCTTAAAAAAATTATAAAGGCTAACGTGTTATTTTGTATTTAAATATTTAAATTACCATTATATCCCTTTGTATTGAAATAACAAATTAATATTTAATATATTATGCAAATATCTCTATTTTTGTAAAATTTTTGAATGATCATGTTATGTTTAATAAGATATACAAAAATAATATTTTTATTTCCAATATTAATACACGGTGACAACTCTATTGATACAATATTATCTATAATGCCTAAAAATAGTTATATTTATCTCATCTTTTCATTCACAATCAAAATAATTTGGTAAAAAATTACAGATACACAAAGTAAAAACAAGAAAGAAAAAAAGAAAAAATCGAGAAAAAAAAAAATAAATCTTACTATTTGATAGCTCAAATGAAAAAATTATGGAAAATGAGTCCATTATTAAATTAAGTTCGAGTAGGATTGATTATATCATTATTTTAATTCAAACTCTTGAAATTTTAATCGAGGCCATATTATTTGACATAATTAACAAATCAGCTCAAACATTTCAGTCTCAAAAGTATTATTTTCTTAAAATTTCAGATGCGCCTAATTTATAGATGGAGTTGATAAAAAAAAAAAATTTATAGATGGAGTTGTCAACTGTAATAAAAAAAAAATTTGATATTGACTTTTATCACATTTATGAGTGTTTTTATTACCAAAAAAAGCGGTAAAACAAGTTACCACAATAGCGATAAAATCACCTACAAATGTGATAAATAACCGACAAAAGTTACTTTTTTTTGTACCGAATAAAAATAATAAAAATAATTATCATAACTTATCAACAGTAAAAAAAATATTCACAATAGTGATAAAAAAACTGATAAACATAATAAATCAATCACTCACAATTAATGCATTAAAATAATAAATTTTAGCAGTACAAAACCGGAAATTTTCCTTCGGTACTGTGTCAAGTTTTTTATAGATAGTATTTAGTCCTTGATTTGACGGTCGACCTATCTAATATTAAAAGTCATAAACAATACACCGTCGAAATTAGGTCAAGGTCGTAGGAAATTACACCACTAATTCTATAAAAGAGGGTATGCATTTCAATCAATCGGCATCCATACCCACTAAAGTAAAAAAAGCCATCATTGTTGGCACAGTTTGCAAAAGGAAAGATGGCGCTAAATGTTGAGATAGTCTCCAAAGAGATGATTAAACCCTCATCTCCAACACCCCATCACCTGAAAAGCCTCAAACTCTCTCTCTTAGATCAGATTGCACCACCAGTTTATGTTCCGATCATTCTCTTCTATCCTCTTCAGTTGGGCTCCAAGATTGATCCTACCCAAAAAAATAAATCTCTGAAACAATCATTATCAGAAATCCTAACACAGTTCTACCCATTATCTGGAAGGATCAAAGATGATTTTTTCATTGATTGTGATGACACTGGAGTCGTGTATGTTGAAGCTCAAGTCCATGCTCAACTCTCAGAAGTCATTGCAGAGCCAAGCATGGAGGAATTGAAACAGTTCCTCCCTGTAGAACCTTATAGCAGTACTGGAACTGTGAAGGAGACCCTCCTGGCCATTCAGATAAACTTTTTTGACTGTGGTGGGATGGCCATCGGCGTCAATATGTCTCACAAAATTGCCGATGGATCGTCGTTGATCACCTTCATGAATGCATGGGCTAGTAAATCACGTGGAGATAGTCTAAATTTGGGCCTTGATTTTGATATCGATTCTCCGTTTCCACCCAGAGATTTATCTGGGTTCATACCAAATGCAGTCATAAGCAAAGAGAAGATTGTAACCCGAAGATTTGTGTTTGATAAATCAAAGTTAGANAGGTAAAATAGAATTAATCAAAAAACCTAAACGCACGTTTGATTACTAATTCTCAATATTGCAATTCATATAAATAAACAATAATGTATCTATATACATATGTATAGTGTTGGGCATGAGATTAAACTTGAAAAGAAAATGAGAAAATGTAAAAAAGAAAAAGAAGGAAAAAAAAAAGNATAAATCAAAGTTAGAAATTCTCAAGAAATCTGCATGTTCTGGTGCTGAATCAATAGTGAAGGATCCGACCCGGGTTGAAGCCGTCTCAGCTTTCATCTGGAACCATTTCATGCAGGTTGCCAATGCCAATGNGTGAAGGATCCGACCCGGGTTGAAGCCGTCTCAGCTTTCATCTGGAGCCATTTCATGCAGGTTGCCAATGCCAATGCTAAAATGGATTCAAAAAAGATATTTGCTGCAGTTCATGCAGTGAACTTGAGGCCCAAGATGAACCCACCTCTTTCTAATCATGCCTTTGGAAATCTATGGAGCTTTGCTCTTGCTGTGTCAAAGCCTGAGGAAGACAAAGATTATCATGATCTGGTTTTCAAGCTCAGGAGCGCGATAAGGAAGATCAATGGAGACTATGTGAAGAAACTGCAAGATGGAGAGGAGTATTTGAACTATNTATTGTTCAGTGGGCTACATTAGACCAGCCCAATACAAAAGGTGGTCCATCATAAACTTGTCGAATGAGGCCAAATGGACCTTCCGTGAGTTGACCAAGGGACTATCCCTAATGCTTCGTTTGGTAGGGTGAATGTAAAGTTGGAAAGATATAAAGTAAGAAGGATACATTTTCTATCCTTCAAGGATAGAAAATAGGAAGTATACACTTTCCTTTCTTTGTGTTTGGTTGGATGGATAAAAAATAAAAATGAATATTTTTTTTTTTGTGATGGCTAAGATTAGGGGTGACAATCGAGTCAAGTCGTGTNTTTTCACGAGGAGATTTAGAGTTCTGTAATTTTAGCAGTTGGTGTAGATTTCCTGTGTACGAAGTGGACTATGGCTGGGGAAAACCTGTTTGGGTCTGCACTACGGNCGTGTCAGATTCGTGTTGAGTCATTACATGTTTATGTCGAATATTAGTCAAATCTAACTTAACTCATTTAATTAATTGTGTCATGTCGAGTTGCGAGTTGACATGTTTATTTTCGTATCGAGTTCGAATCGTGTCATTGTGTTGAGTCGAAAATTTTCACTCTTAGTTAAGATGAAAAAAATATATATTTTTTTAATTTAAAATTTTTATTTTTTAAAAATTTATTTTTAATTTTTTTACAAATATATATACATATTTTACCATTTTATTTTTATATAAAATTAATGTATACATAAGATATATAGACAAATAAGATACATCTCAACATAAGTAATTAACTCAACAAATGTATTTGTGACCACAAACAACTAATATTGTAATCACAATTAAAATTATTTATTATTAATTAAGTTAGATTTTTAAGTTTAAAGGGTGTTACTTTAATTTGACATGTTCCTCACGAACTGGTTAAGAGCGTGAGTTATCATTTTAAACCACGGCCACGCGTCTATTTTCTGGAACTTTCAACCAAAAGCATTTCTGCTGGTACGTCAAGGGCAATTCCACTTTATTTAGATCAAGGCACATACGTGTCCATCCTTTTCGCAGAGCTCGAAACGTGTCCATTTTTCTTTTTCCCTTAGGGGTACATGTCGAGTTAGTAATTGGACTCCAACACAGACCAATAAAATCCCTCAGATACGACTGCTTTATTGTGGGACCCATTTGATCTACAGCAACCAATCAATGAAATATAAATGATTTTAAAAAAGATGTTAGTAGTCATTAGATGTGTCTATTTGACACCATCTAAGGAGCTTATTGAAGTTTGTCTTGTTTTATATTATTGATTATAGATAGATCTCTTTTTGTATATATTTATCTAATATTATAGTTAAGAAATTAAATTCTCAATTTATAAAAATATAATTATGGTCAAGTTTAATTCAATTTTTATCTAATGATTTATTGATACAAAATTCATTCCAATTTTTCTTCACCATTTTCTCTGCATGGCTCTAAATGTCAGACAACTCAACCAACAGACTCCCCAACATGAGACAACCTCTCTCTCGCTGACCTCTTTTTTTTCTGTTTACTTTAATTTTAAATTACATAATTTAAAGAATAAATTATTATTTAAAATATAAATATTGCACGATAAATACTTAATTTTTAGAATTCTATAATACCTTCGGACACGGGATTATAACTAGTATTTACATATTATGTGTGTGTAGAATTCCAAATCGAATGCAGATTAAATTTAATTTAATTTTTCCAATTTGTCCTGTATTTGGATTGGATATACAAACCACAATATCCCACCTTGATAACTGTCCAAAATTGAATTAGCTTAACCTAGTTTTGTTATCTTTCTACAATGGCGGTCTCGTGTCAAATGTTTGTATTATATTTAGTTGTTTTCTTTCAACAAGTATACTAGTTATTTTTCATTGTGATAGTGATCAACTGATCCATATCAAAGAGAAAATTATATTAACTCTCCAAAAATACAAATTTATATAATTCATACCCTAACAAAATTGAGGGATTTTTTTTTTCAATTCTATAAGAAGTTTCATACAATATCTGATCATAAAATTGAGAAAATTTTTAANTACATTAGAAAAATAGGTTTGGGCTTCGGATTGAATGTAGTCCAATGTTTTTTGGAATTAGTTCATATCAGACATTAAGGTGGTGTTATAGTCCCCACTTGATTACAAAGAGTTTACCCCACCACCAAAGTCTTCGATGGTGTACAAGGAGAGAGCCGGCAGACAGGCATATGTCACCATATATATATATTTGGACAAAAGATGTGTTTTTCAGTATCATATTTGGACACCAAAGTTAGGGGTAATAATCGGGTGTAACATGCTAAGTTTGAGTAAATTCAAACCCGTCTTATTTGTGATGCCCAAGCTTGAATTCGAGCAGAACTCAACTATTGAGTGTAGATTCTTATTCAAGTTTGCACGATAGAAATTTATAAGTATTCAAAGAAAAATTGAGCTTAATTTTCCAAAAATAATGAATAAATAAAAAATAACCCCAAACTTAATAATCCATTGTAGAATAATCAATTTCTTGATAGAAGTCTCCTAACATATATTTAATAACCAATCCTAGAAGTTTAAATTCTTGAAAATTCTATTCGAGAAAACTAAGAGAGAAAAGTGCTTAGATTCAACTCGTTTGCAATTTGAACTTAAAAATTTAATCAGATTCAATTCATTTTGCAATTTAAACAAATCTAATATGTGTCAAGTAAACATCTGTGGGGGTATCGACCACAAGCAGTTATATACTCAAGTCAGGTTCTACAAGCAATTGGATGGAAATAAGTATTTATTCTTGTTTTTTATGAGCTGTGTGGTTAAATAAGAACTCCATATATATGCTGTTNATGATGAACCTCACATAACAATCATAGGCCAAATATCTTACTCAAAATTAATCGGCAATAGATTAAGAGATGAGTCACATATTCGCCCACTATGATAAGAAGTCTTTCAATTTCAATAATATTCATTTGATAAGTGCATTGATTATATATTTAATCTCAGATTCTCTGACTTTTTTCTACCTCCCCACGTGCGAGTGGGGTCACATATGCGAGGACCTATTAAATGGTGCTCCACATTAAATGTACATACATTAGAAAAATAGGTTTGGGCTTCGGATTGAATGTAGTCCAATGTTTTTTGGAATTAGTTCATATCAGACATTAAGGTGGTGTTATAGTCCCCACTTGATTACAAAGAGTTTACCCCACCACCAAAGTCTTCGATGGTGTACAAGGAGAGAGCCGGCAGACAGGCATATGTCACCATATATATATATATTTGGACAAAAGATGTGTTTTTCAGTATCATATTTGGACACCAAAGTTAGGGGTAATAATCGGGTGTAACATGCTAAGTTTGAGTAAATTCAAACCCGTCTTATTTGTGATGCCCAAGCTTGAATTCGAGCAGAACTCAACTATTGAGTGTAGATTCTTATTCAAGTTTGCACGATAGAAATTTATAAGTATTCAAAGAAAAATTGAGCTTAGTTTTCCAAAAATAATGAATAAATAAAAAATAACCCCAAACTTAATAATCCATTGTAGAATAATCAATTTCTTGATAGAAGTCTCCTAACATATATTAAATAACCAATCCTAGAAGTTTAAATTCTTGAAAATTCTATTCGGGAAAACTAAGAGAGAAAAATGCTTAGATTCAACTCGTTTGCAATTTGAACTTAAAAATTTAATCAGATTCGATTCATTTAGCAATTTAAACAAATCTAATATTTGTCAAGTAAACATCTGTGGGGGTATCGATCACAAGCAGTTCGATACTCAAGTCAGATTCTACGAGCAATTGGATGGAAATAAGTATTTATTCTTGTTTTTTATGAGCTGTGTGGTTAAATAAGAACTCCACATATATGTTGGTTTTGGACGATGACTAGGCTGTAGCTAAATGCAATCGTTGGATAGTGGGCAAGTTCTCAGGTTACGGCTAGATTATTAATTTGATCAGTGTCACCGTTGTCTTCAACTACGTCTAATTCTCACATTATATCGACCAAGTGTCTTTCAATTGACTTCTCGTGTGTCAAAAGTTGAAGGTAAGATCGTTTATTCTGGATTTTTACAATCTTACACATCAACAGACAAGCTAATTCTAAGTGTTTTATGGCCTTGGCTCCATGGTTTGAATTGGTGATAAATAATTCAAAGCTATTAGCAGGTAATGGCTTATCAGTGGATTTTTGGAGAGATAATTGGTTATGCACAGGTCTTTTATTGCTCAGGAATTATGTCCCTCCATCAGTCTTCCCAAATCTAGCTGACTTGCTAGTTAATGGTCAATGGCTGCTTGATGGCTTTTTTCTGGATGCTTCCTTGCTAGAGGAGGTGTACAGTGCTGCTATTTCTCTTTCTCCTCAAACTGACAAGTTAATATGGCAGCCTACTTCTAGGGGGAATTTCTCAATAAAGACAGCTCGGGAGCTTATCAGAAGTCAAGGAATTCCTAATAGTACTACTTCAAGTATTTGGAAATAATGTTCCCCACCGAGTGCAGAGCTTGTGGGTTGGAAAATTACGAAAAATGCACTCCCTTCGAATTCGAAATTGAAGTCTCTGGGTGTTTCTCTTGCTAGTAGATGTCCTATGTGTTTTAGTGTTGAGGATACTGCAACTCATTTTTTTGTTAATTGCAAATATGCAGTAGTCATTTGGAGCAAAGTTTCAACTTCATTGGGCATTCCAATATTTGACTCTGAAGAGCATCTTACCAGATTTCAAAGATTAGTCAGAGTTTATACCCATATTTTGCCTTGCCATATTCTCATTAGAGGGATTTCCTTAATCATTTACTAGCAACTATGGAAAGAGAGGTGCAAACGTGTTTTTGAAGATTTGTCCCAACATTCTTCCTCTATTTTCCTAACCATTATGCAGATTTGGAAATTCAGGCGTATAATGTCAGGCCTAAGACAGTTGATACGTTTCCACATCAGATATTATTGCATTCTCTTAATGTTCCACTAGTTGCTGCTCCTATAGGGTTTGTTAAGTGGCTGAGCTGGAGGTTCCCACCAGAGGGAATTCTGAAATTAAATATCGATGGGGCCTCAAAAAGAAACCCAGGCCTTTCAGGAGGTGGGGTGGTCCTAAGAAGTCATTCGGGTCAACTTCTTCTAGTTGGATCTTATTTCTATAGTTTTGGTTCTAGCATGGAAGCAGAAATGAGGGCACTTCTGGATGGCTTATGTCGTCTTCTAGATTACAGCTTGGATGTTTATCCTATCCTTATTGAATCTGACTCTCAAATTCTTGTGGATATGGTCAATCACACTTTTGAACCTCCATGGAGATGTAAGACTCTTCTCAACAAGATTTTAGCTATCCTAGGGAGACTTGATTTCCGAATACAACATACATACAAGGAAGGAAATTCTGTGCCTAACTCATTCGTTAACAAGGGGATTTTGGAGAGTCACAACTACGTATTCTTCTTCAAACACTATTCCTACTCACATAAGACTTGTAATCCAGCAAGAACAACGACAGATTAGATCCATTCGCAAGATGATCTCTATCAAGCGAATTTGAGCTCATCCTTATCCTCTAAACTCTTTCATCTTCGCCAGCTACTGGTTTTTTATTTAATCCTTTCATTAGCAGCTTAGGCAGGCGATGATGGAGCTTTTTAAGGCATTAGGACTTTTCATAGTTATCTATTGCATTGGATAATTTGTAAATGCATGCATTTTGAATTCTTTATTCTATGCTTATGTTGTAACTAGACGCATTAGAGGGTAAGCTACATACTCCCCCCTCTCTAGGTGTAATTATTTTTTTTTCAAATTAATAAAATCATGCTCTCGTATGGTCGAGGTTTAACTAAAAAAAAAAATAGATATGTTGCCTGTCAATACGATGGTTGGCTGCGTAAACATTGTACACAATCTTTTTTATGTTGATAATATTTGAAATTTAATTTGCGGACTCCATTTATTAATCTAATTCATTTGCTATTAAATTATCAGTAGCTCCCGAAACATGATGGGATTCTATGTCGATGTTATGGATGGGGCTCACTATCTTTCCCATTAGAGGCATATCTGGTCACTCATGTTGGATCGAGAGCTTCTTTTTCCCTGCACATGTGGAAGAACTTCACAATGTTAAGAGCTCTGGTCCTCGAAGTCGTTTGGCAACTTGATATCGACCCATCACATCCCTAGGTTTAATACAGTCCCAAGTGTGAATGAGTCAACCTTAGTATGAGAGCACCGAGTTGGNTTTCAATTGACTTCTCGTGTGTCAAAAGTTGAAGGTAAGATCGTTTATTCTGGATTTTTACAATCTTACACATCAACAGACAAGCTAATTCTAAGTGTTTTATGGCCTTGGCTCCATGGTTTGAATTGGTGATAAATAATTCAAAGCTATTAGCAGGTAATGGCTTATCAGTGGATTTTTGGAGAGATAATTGGTTATGCACAGGTCTTTTATTGCTCAGGAATTATGTCCCTCCATCAGTCTTCCCAAATCTAGCTGACTTGCTAGTTAATGGTCAATGGCTGCTTGATGGCTTTTTTCTGGATGCTTCCTTGCTAGAGGAGGTGTACAGTGCTGCTATTTCTCTTTCTCCTCAAACTGACAAGTTAATATGGCAGCCTACTTCTAGGGGGAATTTCTCAATAAAGACAGCTCGGGAGCTTATCAGAAGTCAAGGAATTCCTAATAGTACTACTTCAAGTATTTGGAAATAATGTTCCCCACCGAGTGCAGAGCTTGTGGGTTGGAAAATTACGAAAAATGCACTCCCTTCGAATTCGAAATTGAAGTCTCTGGGTGTTTCTCTTGCTAGTAGATGTCCTATGTGTTTTAGTGTTGAGGATACTGCAACTCATTTTTTTGTTAATTGCAAATATGCAGTAGTCATTTGGAGCAAAGTTTCAACTTCATTGGGCATTCCAATATTTGACTCTGAAGAGCATCTTACCAGATTTCAAAGATTAGTCAGAGTTTATACCCATATTTTGCCTTGCCATATTCTCATTAGAGGGATTTCCTTAATCATTTACTAGCAACTATGGAAAGAGAGGTGCAAACGTGTTTTTGAAGATTTGTCCCAACATTCTTCCTCTATTTTCCTAACCATTATGCAGATTTGGAAATTCAGGCGTATAATGTCAGGCCTAAGACAGTTGATACGTTTCCACATCAGATATTATTGCATTCTCTTAATGTTCCACTAGTTGCTGCTCCTATAGGGTTTGTTAAGTGGCTGAGCTGGAGGTTCCCACCAGAGGGAATTCTGAAATTAAATATCGATGGGGCCTCAAAAAGAAACCCAGGCCTTTCAGGAGGTGGGGTGGCCCTAAGAAGTCATTCGGGTCAACTTCTTCTAGTTGGATCTTATTTCTATAGTTTTGGTTCTAGCATGGAAGCAGAAATGAGGGCACTTCTGGATGGCTTATGTCGTCTTCTAGATTACAGCTTGGATGTTTATCCTATCCTTATTGAATCTGACTCTCAAATTCTTGTGGATATGGTCAATCACACTTTTGAACCTCCATGGAGATGTAAGACTCTTCTCAACAAGATTTTAGCTATCCTAGGGAGACTTGATTTCCGAATACAACATACATACAAGGAAGGAAATTCTGTGCCTAACTCATTCGTTAACAAGGGGATTTTGGATAGAGTCACAACTACGTATTCTTCTTCAAACACTATTCCTACTCACATAAGACTTCTAATCCAGCAAGAACAACGACAGATTAGATCCATTCGCAAGATGATCTCTATCAAGCGAATTTGAGCTCATCCTTATCCTCTAAACTCTTTCATCTTCGCCAGCTACTGGTTTTTTATTTAATCCTTTCATTAGCAGCTTAGGCAGGCGATGATGGAGCTTTTTAAGGCATTAGGACTTTTCATAGTTATCTATTGCATTGGATAATTTGTAAATGCATGCATTTTGAATTCTTTATTCTATGCTTATGTTGTAACTAGACGCATTAGAGGGTAAGCTACATACTTCCCCCCTCTCTAGGTGTAATTATTTTTTTTTCAAATTAATAAAATCATGCTCTCGTATGGTCGAGGTTTAACTAAAAAAAAAAATAGATATGTTGCCTGTCAATACGATGGTTGGCTGCGTAAACATTGTACACAATCTTTTTTATGTTGATAATATTTGAAATTTAATTTGCGGACTCCATTTATTAATCTAATTCATTTGCTATTAAATTATCAGTAGCTCCCGAAACATGATGGGATTCTATGTCGATGTTATGGATGGGGCTCACTATCTTTCCCATTAGAGGCATATCTGGTCACTCATGTTGGATCGAGAGCTTCTTTTTCCCTGCACATGTGGAAGAACTTCACAATGTTAAGAGCTCTGGTCCTCGAAGTCGTTTGGCAACTTGATATCGACCCATCACATCCCTAGGTTTAATACAGTCCCAAGTGTGAATGAGTCAACCTTAGTATGAGAGCACCGAGTTGGGTTATGCAGATAGTGGCGCCCAATAACAATAAAACAATTGAATCAATAAATCAAATCAAAAGTAGTATTAGTATTTTACCCTATGAGTAAAAACTTAAAAGGACTCAAAACAGATTCGTGAAGGCAATAAATATTGCTATCTATCACCAAGAATGATTAATGTGGTAGCATTACGTCCATATCAAATTAAAGTAGGTTTACTCCCACGACTACTTCTTGTGGTAAGAGTAATCTTATAGCAATTTGTCTAAAAGAGATTTAATTGAAGTTGACAATTCTAAGCCTGACTTATGGATTCAACACAAAATTACAAAAGTAATAGTGAAATTAAATTTAATCTTAGAGAACTTGGTGTGCATGCAAGGCCGGCCTTTTGACTAGGCAATCGCAGCTGTCACCTAAGGTCCCATATTGAAAAAACACTTGGCCTAGGAAATGGACAAAACGGTTCTATGTCTTGGATAGACAATTAATGGAGTATAAGTGGGGAACGTATGGCCATTAAAGTCTAAAGAAATGACAGCTGGGAGTTCCCTTCAATCAACCTAATGGTAGAGAAAAGGTATCTCCTAGGCCACAAATTTGATGTTACTTGATGTACAAAGTTGAAAACTCAAGGGGGTATCATGTACAACAATTGATTTTTTTAACTTGAAGTAAAAAAAAAAAAAAGACTTTTATCTTACTACAAAGGCAGTCTTGTGTCAAAATTTTATATTTTTTAACTTGTATTATGTAATTTTGTATTCTTATTCAATTTAATTGACTAAATTTTGATTCTCTCAAGATTTTTTCGATAATTGATTAAAGGGTTATTTCTTACAAAGTTGTACATTAATTTCTTATATCTTTCTCTTTGAGAGTTTTATTGTATTATCTTTTCGGCTTCTCTTCACTCTTTTATAGATACGTTCTTAATTGTTGTAGATGTATTATTCCAAAAAAAACTAATAGTAAATTTTTATTGTAATAGTGATCAACAAATTGATATATCTAAGAGAAAATTATACTAATCATGTTTTGTTTTCTGATGCAAACATGACATCTTGGTTTTATCATATTTCAGTTGACATACATAATGGTATACTAAAAATTCACGATTGAACATTATTTTTTTCCCAACTCTGCAAAAATAAATTTACTTAATTCATATCCTACCAAAATTAAAGATTTTTTTTATTAAAAAAATTCTATAATAATTTCATACAATATCTGCTCATAAAATCGAGAAAAAAAAAATAGGTATTTTTGTGATTCAATCCTAATTAATTAAATTATTTAAAAATATTTAAAAAAATTAATTATTCATATTTGATACTTGTCTAGCCTATTTATAATTCATATTAGCCACCGTCCCTAATTTATTAATCTTAAGTCAAATTCGTGTAACTCTATACAATTGTACAAGGAATTGTTGCCAATCCTAAACAATTGAGCAATGTTATTGTAACATAAGTCATTGGATTGACTGTAGATATCATCAAATATTAGAACCTAGTGTTAATCCAACAGTTACAATAAAACACAACATTAAGTCAACAAATTTTTAAACACCAACTGCACTACACTAAACAAAGTAATGAATCATAAAAGTCAATATGTGGTGTGAGAAAGTCTCTTAGGTTCCAAAATTCGTTTGCACTTGAGGAATGCCATAGGGATTCCCTGTGCATGAGAGAATTCTCTTGTCCTCTAACAAAATTGTGTGATCCAACGAACCATTAGGTGTATGATCCAGGGGCAGCTTAAACTAATTTGAGACATAAAATGAAAATATTAAATGGAGGTTTTTTTATTTTTAGTATTATTTTTCAAAAAAAATTAATTTATTTTTAATTTTTTATGTAAAAGGGAGACAAAAGAATGTGTTAATATTATTGAGAAAGAGATTTCAATTTTTATTTTTGTTTTTACCACAGAGAGGGAGAAAGAATATTTAATTTCAACTTTTTTTTTGGAGAGAGAAAGAGAAAGTGGGTGAGAGTAAATATAAGTTGACTTTTGAATATTTTTTTTTATTTTTTTAATTCCTAAGTTTTTAATGTTATGAATTGGATTATAAGTTTAAATTATTGCAATAAAAATTTTGATTGAATTTAATTTTTTGGGGTTTTTTTGTAAGGCTTAAAACTTAATGGATTTAATTTTTTTTGTGAGTTAATGATGTACCTAAAATTATGAAACTTAAAGCCCATTTTTTTCCCATACTGTTGGACGCCTTGGTATGATCCAAATATTTATTAGGTGAAATGGTCACACAAATATTATTGCAATTATGATTTTTTTTGGTATTAAAACTATGTCACTTCAAAAAGAATTAGATCAAAGTATGTAATCTCAACAACGAATCCCTTGTAAATATCTGATGACCTGTCTTTAATCGAGACGCGAAGAAGATTAATCGAAGTGCACGCAAGCTGGTCGGACACCCATAACCGTTAAACTATAAAAAAAAAAAATATTATAATAATCCAATCCAAGGTGGAATGGTATTGGAATTTAAAATCTAATCTAATTTGCTGACCTCACGAGAAATCAACTAATATGGTCCAANTTTTTGTTTTTACCACAGAGAGGGAGAAAGAATATTTAATTTCAACTTTTTTTTTTTGGAGAGAGAAAGAGAAAGTGGGTGAGAGTAAATATAAGTTGACTTTTGAATTTTTTTTTATTTTTTTAATTCCTAAGTTTTTAATGTTATGAATTGGATTATAAGTTTAAATTATTGCAATAAAAATTTTGATTGAATTTAATTTTTTGGGGTTTTTTTGTAAGGCTTAAAACTTAATAGATTTAATTTTTTTTGTGAGTTAATGATGTACCTAAAATTATGAAACTTAAAGCCCATTTTTTTCCCATACTGTTGGACGCCTTGGTATGATCCAAATATTTATTAGGTGAAATGGTCACACAAATATTATTGCAATTATGATTTTTTTTGGTATTAAAACTATGTCACTTCAAAAAGAATTAGATCAAAGTATGTAATCTCAACAACGAATCCCTTGTAAATATCTGATGACCTGTCTTTAATCGAGACGCGAAGAAGATTAATCGAAGTGCACGCAAGCTGGTCGGACACCCATAACCGTTAAACTATAAAAAAAAAAAATATTATAATAATCCAATCCAAGGTGGAATGGTATTGGAATTTAAAATCTAATCTAATTTGCTGACCTCACGAGAAATCAACTAATATGGTCCAATAGTATTACAATAAAATTATCTATACCTAATTTATTGGCCTAATCCATTAAATTCATTGGATGGATAGATGGCCGTAATTAGTATTATGATCAACTGTCAATCTAATGACAATAATTTATCGAGTTGACAAATTAAATTCAAGCAGTATTGTTAATAGCATTATTATAATTATAACTTTTGAATTTTTTTATTAAGAGTCTAAGACCCTATCACTTGACACCTCAGGATACTAAATTAGGTCAAAATTAAAATTCTAAAAGTATTATTCGAATTTCGTATGCAACTAGTAGTTTATACAACTAGTCGGTTCATGCCTTTGGAAAATACTCAATGTAGTCGGTTGGTTTGGCAATCCAATAATTTATCTAATATTACAACTAAAAAATTAAATTCTTAATTTATAAAAGCATAACAACGGTCAAGATTGATTTAATTTTTATTTAATTTGGTCTAATGGTATAGAATTCATTCTAATTTTTTTTTTCACTCCAAAGCATCAACTCTACTAATACACTCTTCAATATCAAACAACCATACTAAATTATTATTTAATATCAATATTCAATTTTTTATATTATAAAGTTTTTTCAGACATAGAATTGTTGCTAGTGATAATATATTAAGCATCCAAATTAGGTCAAATTTGCAGAAAATGACATGTACTATAATCTATATATTACTAATAAAAGTACTTTAACATGAAAAATTTTTGATTCACTATTTTGCCCTTAAAAAAATTATGAAAGCTAATATGTCATTTTGTATTTAAATATATAATTATCATTATATCCCTTTGTATTTAAATAACAATTTAATATCTAATATATTATGTAAATCTCTCAACTTTTGTAAAACTTTTGAATGGTCATTTTATGTTTAACATGATATATAAAAATAAAATATATATATATATATATAAATCTTTACTAGAATGAAAAAATCACAAAAAATAAGTTCATTATTAAATTAAGTTCGGGTAGGATTGATATATCATTATTTTAATTTCAAACTCTTGAACGTTTAATCGAAGCCATATTATTTGACATAATTCAAATCGGGTCAAACATTTCAGTCTCAAAAGTATTATTTTCTTAAAATTTCAGATGCGCCTAATTTATAGAAGGAGTTGTCAACGGTAAAAAAAAAAAAAAAATTGATACCGTATCGGCTTTTATCTTATTTATGATTATTTTTATCAATATTATGGTACCCAAAAAAACATAAACAGTAACCTAAAATCACCTACAAATTAGGTCAAATTAGTAGGAAATGACATGCAGTAATTCTATAAAAAGAGGTCTCAATTAATATTGTGACCCACTTTCAGCGGAACGACAATGATTTAATATAAAAGTAAGTTCAAGTAGTATTGATCATTTGATCATATCGTTATTTTAATTATAACTCTTGAACTTTTAATCAAGGCCACGTTATTTAACACCTCATTAAAGTATCAAATCAGGTCAAACATTTAAGTCTTAAAAAGTAGTATTTATAGATGTAATTGTCTACGGTACCGTATCGACTTTTACAACAATTATAAGGGTTTTTATCATTACTATAATATCGAAAAAAATGATAAAAATAATTATTATAACAGTAACAAAAATACTTATAATTTTTATTTTTATTTTTACCGAAGAAAAGTTGTAAAAATACTTGCGACAGTAGTAAAAAAACCACAAATGTGATAAATCACTCACAAAAATAATAAAATTTTTAATTGTAAAATAGCCACAAAAATTATAAAAATACTCATTAAAATAATAAAATTTGGAGGTATGATACCAAAAATTTTCCTTCCGTACTGTGCCAAGTTTTTTTATGAGCAATGTTATCAGGACCTAATTTACTGACATAATTTGCTAACATAATTTACTATAACCTTTGAATTCACTGTAGATCCCATCAAACATTAATATTTGGTATTAATCTAATAATTCTTTTGAAATCACATCATTAGGTCAGATTTTTAGGTACAAATAGTATTATTTTTTTTATATAAATATAATTCATGAGCAATACTATTGAAACATAATTCATTAATTTAATTTGCTGACCTAATTTAGTATGACTTTTAAATGGACCGTTAATTTGACAGTGAAACCTATCTAATATAAAAGTCATAGAGAATATGCCGTCGAATTTAGGTGCAGTTCACATCTACTAATTCTATATAAGAGGGTATGCATTTCAGTAAATTGGCATCCATACCCGCTAAAGCAAAAGAAACCAACCATTGTTGGCATAGTTTGCAAAAAGAGTAATGCTATATGGACTTAAAAATTAAGTCTTAATCATTGATTTTACTATGAATTCCAGTATTTATTGGAACTCACTGCCTATTCAATGGTTGAGATGATTATACCGTCATCTCCGACACCCCATCAATCTCAAAAGCCTCAAACTCTCCTTCTTAGATCAGATTGCACAATCAGTTTATATTCCCATCATTCTCTGCTATTCTCCTCAATTTGGCTCCAAGACTGATCCTACCCAAAAACATAATTCTCTGAAACAATCATTATCAGAAACCCTAATCCCGTTCTACCCATTATCTGGACGGATCAAAGATGATTTTTTCATTGATTGTGATAACACAGGAGTTGAGTATGTTGAAGCTCAAGCCCATGCTCAACTCTCAGAAGTAATTGCAGAGCCAAGCATGGAGGAATTGAAAACAGTTCCTCCCCGTGGAACCTTATAGCAGTACTGGAACTGTGAAGGAGACCCTCCTGGCCATTCAGATAAACTTTTTTGACTGTGGGGGGATGGCCATCGGCATCAATATGTCTCACAAAATCGCCGATGGATCGTCGTTGATCACATTCATGAATGCATGGGCTAGTAAATCACGTGGAGATAGCAAATATTTGGGTCCTAATTTTGATATCGATTCTCTGTTTCCACCCAGAGATTTATCTGGGTTCATACCAAGTGCAGTCTTAAGCAAAGAGAAGATTGTCACCCGAAGATTTGTGTTTGATAAATCAAAGTTAAAAATTCTCAAGAAATCTGCATGTTCTGGTGCTGAATCAATAGTGAAGGATCCGACCCGGGTTGAAGCCGTCTCAGCTTTCATCTGGAGCCATTTCATAGAGGTTGCCAATGCCAAAGCTAAAATGGATTCAAAAAAGCTATTTGCTGCAGTTCATGCAGTGAACTTGAGGCCCAAGATGAATCCACCCCTTTCTGATCATGCCTTTGGAAATCTATGGAGCTTTGCTCTTGCAGTGTCAAAGCCTGAGGAAGACAAAAACTATCATGATCTAGTTTTCAAGCTCAGAACGCAATAAGAAAGATCAATGAAGACTATGTGAAAAAACTGCAAGATGGAGATGACTATTTGAACTTTTTGAAACGATCAAAAGAACAGTTTTCACGAGGAGATTTAGAGTTCTGTAATTTTAGCAGTTGGTGTAGATTTCCTGTTTACGAAGTGGACTATGGCTGGGGCAAACCTGTTTGGGTCTGCACTACGGCCATGCCATTCAAGAACGTGGTGATATTGATGAGTACAAGGGATGGGGATGGGATTGACGCGTGGGTGAACATGGTTGAAGACAACATGGCCATGCTTGAACATGATCACAAGCTTCTTTCACTTGCTTGAGCATGACCATAAGCTTCTTTCACTTGTTGACGATATTATCATTCCTTCAAAAACTGGTGTGACCATTCTCTAATCAATAGCGACTCAGCTATAATATGTATGCATGTCTAGTGTGAGTATGTATGTGTCCAGTGTTTTCCTGAATTTTCATCAACCTATGAAGAATTATCCACAATATATAAGTGAATTTCTCGCTATAGACCATGGACAATTATCATTAAATAAAATTAAGAAAAAATATACAAGAAGGCAGAGCAAATCTAGTCTCTTTTACTAGGCTTGGGCTCCGACTTCAACCGAGTTGGAAGGCATGTATCTGATCTCCAAACTTATGTTGAGTTACAACAGTTTGGAGTCGGAATTAGAGGTAAAAATTCTGGTTATTGCCTTCTTGTCGAGTGGCTGCTCGTCGATTGAGAGAGAGAGAGAGAGGTTAGACCGGTGTGTGTGTGAGAAAGAGAGAGGGAAATATAGGTTGGGGAGTTAGGGTTAGGGAAGAAAACATGGGAGGATGGAGTAATTTATATTTATNCCCCACCACCACTAGCGAAACCCATCACCACTCCCCAAAATTCATCACTACCACCAAAATAGAGAAGGTTGAGAGAGAGAGTGAGAGCGACAGAGGGAGAGGGAGGAGATGACGTTTGGATCCTTCTGTTTTGGCTTCTCTTTGTCTTCATCTTCGTCTGGCTTCGACTTCTTCTTTAGCAGAGAGAGAGAGAGAGAGAAGACAGAGATATGAGAGATGAAAGAGAGAGATGCCCTTTTATATACTTAAACAAAAAAAATTCATATTTTGTTACTAAGGAGGATCGAAGCCCGGACCTTATTAAAATGACTCACGCGTGTTTTTTTTTTGATGTTTTCAAAAATGTCCTTTTGGATATTTTTATATTTTATCCTTATTTTTAAAATAGAAAAATTAAAAAAAAAACAAAAATACTCACCAAACATGTTTTTTATTTTTTTTTTAGCCATAAATTGAAAACAAAACGAAAAAAAAAAAAAACAGAAACGGGTGGTTACCAAACAGGACATTAGTTTATATTATCATATATTTAAAACTTAGGCTGGATTACACTGTACATTAGAANTGGAGTCGGAATTAGAGGTAAAAATTCTGGTTATTGCCTTCTTGTCGAGTGGCTGCTCGTCGATTGAGAGAGAGAGAGAGAGGTTAGACCGGTGTGTGTGTGAGAAAGAGAGAGGGAAATATAGGTTGGGGAGTTAGGGTTAGGGAAGAAAACATGGGAGGATGGAGTAATTTATATTTATATTAATATATTAAATAATTTATAATTCACATTTTTAAAAAAATTAATATTGACTAATAAAAGTCGAAGTTTTCAGAAAGGATTTCAAACTCCGACTTCGACTTCGACTTCGACTCTGATTGAATATTTTAGAAATCAAATTGATAAAATAATACATTGAGAGTCTAACTAATAAAACAAATATACTTTAGGAATAAAAAGTACTATTAATTTTTTTTTCTTTTGGTAAAGGAAATTCTCCAAAATAGAGTCATTTTAGACTCACAACGGTGGGCAAACCCTTAATACCAACAATCACTTGCAAGCCGCATATATCAAGTAAATGTAGAGACACCAGCGAGAATTAAATCCAAAAAATCAGAGTTTGTGGCTCACTCTAGACCAACCAACCCAACATCATCGGGGCTACTAGTGAGTATTAGATATTTTAGTTCTTTCTTGATCAAAGTTTACAAAATTAAGTGGATTATATAATGCGAGTTTTATTTGGTGTATGATTTAAGATGAAAAATTACGTGTGTGTGTGAGAGAGAGAAAGAGGGAGTTTTGTTTGTGTTTAATTGGAAATGTAAGAGTGGGTGGGTGTGTGTGTGTGTGTGAGAGAGACAGAGAGAGAGATGAGAGTTTTGTTTTTAATGCCTTTGTTTTACGCACTGAATTTTGGCTGTTGTAACAAAACGTGCGGACTATATTTTTTGACCCAACTATTGAATTTAAAATTTAGTTGTTAGGTGTATATTTTATTGAGATTTTTTATATAGTTTATATTATCACATATTTAAAACTTATGGTGCGTTTGGTAACGTTTTTATTTTTATATTTTTTTTGTGATAAAAATTAAAATTATAAAACATGTTTGGTTGTGATTTACATTTAAAAAATTATGAAAACAAAAATAAAAAACCTGTTTGATATCATCCCAAAAATTCACCATCCAAAACCACCACCAATCACCCAACCACCTACCACCACCACCGAAACTCACACCCCGACAACCCTTCCCCTAAAATTCACCACCACCACCACCACCCAAACCCAACCTCTATGTGAAACCCATTGCCCCTCCCCCCAAATGCATCCACCCACTCAGATCCAGACACACATACACATACACAACAAGATGCGTAAATCACACACACACACACACATAGATGCCCAAATACATGCACACAAGCACAAATTCATACGCGCACACACACAGAGAGAGAGAGAGAGAAAGATGTTAAAATTAACAACAATATAGCTAGAAACTCAAAACCACCCAACCCACCCCCAACCCCGAAACCCAACCCCACCCTATCCCCGAAATCCACAACCATTCAACCCACCCCCATCCTCGAAAACCCACCATCACCAACCAACCCCACCACCACTAGCGAAACCCATCACCACTCCCCAAAATTCATCACTACCACCAAAATAGAGAAGGTTGAGAGAGAGAGTGAGAGCGACAGAGGGAGAGGGAGGAGATGACGTTTGGATCCTTCTGTTTTGGCTTCTCTTTGTCTTCATCTTCGTCTGGCTTCGACTTCTTCTTTAGCAGAGAGAGAGAGAGAGAGAAGACAGAGATATGAGAGATGAAAGAGAGAGATGCCCTTTTATATACTTAAACAAAAAAAATTCATATTTTGTTACTAAGGAGGATCGAAGCCCGGACCTTATTAAAATGACTCACGCGTGTTTTTTTTTTGATGTTTTCAAAAATGTCCTTTTGGATATTTTTATATTTTATCCTTATTTTTAAAATAGAAAAATTAAAAAAAAAACAAAAATACTCACCAAACATGTTTTTTATTTTTTTTTTAGCCATAAATTGAAAACAAAACGAAAAAAAAAAAAACAGAAACGGGTGGTTACCAAACAGGACATTAGTTTATATTATCATATATTTAAAACTTAGGCTGGATTACACTGTACATTAGAAAATATATAGACCTTCTTTGTAGTTTGGGCCTAAAGTCCCCGCTTTTTCGGTTATACTGTTGGGCCGGCACTTACAAACACAAAGATAGTTTTAATTCAAATCAAGTCTTTCAAGCAACATGGTTAATTATGTTCCTCACGATGAAAAAAACATATAATTCTCCCTTCCTAAATTTGAACCCCTGAAAAGAACAAAGCAACACAAACATATAGAGGCGAGGGTCTAATATCGTATTTAGAAGTAATACTTCACTATAAAATTCTCAACATGCTAAATGCATCATTATGCATTGGTCTAGACCTTAGTTTCTTTAATAATCCACCAAGCTACTCAAGTTNCAAATTGATAAAATAATACATTGAGAGTCTAACTAATAAAACAAATATACTTTAGGAATAAAAAGTACTATTAATTTTTTTTTCTTTTGGTAAAGGAAATTCTCCAAAATAGAGTCATTTTAGACTCACAACGGTGGGCAAACCCTTAATACCAACAATCACTTGCAAGCCGCATATATCAAGTAAATGTAGAGACACCAGCGAGAATTAAATCCAAAAAATCAGAGTTTGTGGCTCACTCTAGACCAACCAACCCAACATCATCGGGGCTACTAGTGAGTATTAGATATTTTAGTTCTTTCTTGATCAAAGTTTACAAAATTAAGTGGATTATATAATGTGAGTTTTATTTGGTGTATGATTTAAGATGAAAAATTACGTGTGTGTGTGAGAGAGAGAAAGAGGGAGTTTTGTTTGTGTTTAATTGGAAATGTAAGAGTGGGTGGGTGTGTGTGTGTGTGTGAGAGAGACAGAGAGAGAGATGAGAGTTTTGTTTTTAATGCCTTTGTTTTACGCACTGAATTTTGGCTGTTGTAACAAAACGTGCGGACTATATTTTTTGACCCAACTATTGAATTTAAAATTTAGTTGTTAGGTGTATATTTTATTGAGATTTTTTATATAGTTTATATTATCACATATTTAAAACTTATGGTGCGTTTGGTAACGTTTTTATTTTTATATTTTTTTTGTGATAAAAATTAAAATTATAAAACATGTTTGGTTGTGATTTACATTTAAAAAATTATGAAAACAAAAATAAAAAACCTGTTTGATATCATCCCAAAAATTCACCATCCAAAACCACCACCAATCACCCAACCACCTACCACCACCACCGAAACTCACACCCCGACAACCCTTCCCCTAAAATTCACCACCACCACCACCACCCAAACCCAACCTCTATGTGAAACCCATTGCCCCTCCCCCCAAATGCATCCACCCACTCAGATCCAGACACACATACACATACACAACAAGATGCGTAAATCACACACACACACACACATAGATGCCCAAATACATGCACACAAGCACAAATTCATACGCGCACACACACAGAGAGAGAGAGAGAGAAAGATGTTAAAATTAACAACAATATAGCTAGAAACTCAAAACCACCCAACCCACCCCCAACCCCGAAACCCAACCCCACCCTATCCCCGAAATCCACAACCATTCAACCCACCCCCATCCTCGAAAACCCACCATCACCAACCAACCCCACCACCACTAGCGAAACCCATCACCACTCCCCAAAATTCATCACTACCACCAAAATAGAGAAGGTTGAGAGAGAGAGTGAGAGCGACAGAGGGAGAGGGAGGAGATGACGTTTGGATCCTTCTGTTTTGGCTTCTCTTTGTCTTCATCTTCGTCTGGCTTCGACTTCTTCTTTAGCAGAGAGAGAGAGAGAGAGAAGACAGAGATATGAGAGATGAAAGAGAGAGATGCCCT